TTAGTAGTAATAGACCTACTGAAGGGATTGTGACTTTGGGCGATCAAGTCATTAATAAGAGTACACGTTTTAGATATCTTGAATCTATTGTTCAGAGTGATGGTGAAATAGATGGGGATATTATCAACAGAATTCAAGTTGGATGGTTGAAGTGGAGGAATGCATCGGGCTTGTTATGTGATAGAAATGTACCCCTCAAACTTAAGGGAAAATTCTATAAGATGATAGTGAGGCCTGCAATGCTTTATGGTGCCGAATGTTGGCCTTTAAAAGAGAAGCATAATACTAAGTTAAGTGTGGCTGAGATGAGGATGCTCAGGTGGATGAGTGGCTTTACCCTTAGAGATAGGATACGAAATGAGCATATACGTGAAAAGGTTGGAGTAGCTCCAGTAGAAGATAAAATTAGAGAGAGTCGCCTTAGATGGTTTGGTCACATAAAACGGCGGCCTTGCGATGACCCGGTTAGGAGAGTAGAGGTATTAGATTTGACTTATGTTAAGAAAGGTAGGGGTAGACCTAAAAAGACTTGGTTAGAAAATATTAGGAATGACCTTTCTTTATTAGATTTAAATGAGAATTTGACTTTTAATAGGACACAATGGAGAAAAAGGATTCATGTAGCCGACCCCACGTAGTGGGATAAAGGCTTGATGTTGTTATTGTTGTTGTTGTATTGCTATGTTGTAAATGTTGATTGTTTTCTTGGTATACTTATGGTATCACATTATATATATATATATTGTAAGAGTTGTTCAATTAGGTCTAAAGTTACGCAGCAATATGTGCATTTTTTCTCTACTTTGCTATATTGTTTGATACTAATGACTTTATTTAAGGAAGTGTGAGTTTTTCTTTCATTAATTGACTTTATTTAACGTGGAAAGCATATGATATATTTGGATATTCTCATATGATTACTTTACATGGTGTGATGTTTGTAATTATTTATGTATCCAAAACTATCACAAGTTAGTTTAGTGTTAAACTATCCTTCATCTTTGTCCTATGATGTCATTGAGCATAGGAATGTTAAGCATTAGTGTGATAGGATTTTCTTAGTCGTACTTTCTAAGAGTTTGTCATATATTGCTCAAAATTATCTTAATTGATTTCATTTGATATGAAGTGAGCATGTGCATACTAAATTATGTTTTAACTCTCCAAGTTATGTGAGCTGTTAATTTAAGCTAACTGCTTGTCTACGATGATTGTAACTGATTATTTGTTGAAGTAGATTTTTCTTGATAAGCTTGCTTAACTTTGTATTAGTGTGGCCGACAGTGTGCAACCTTATATTGTCTCTACATTATAATGAATTGTTTGTGTAAGAGTTGGTGGGGAGGACATTTGCATTGCTTAATATTAAGTTTGAAATTTGTTTGATAGGTGATAGTATTTTCCATCTAGTGACTTTTGTATTTGTTAGGATTTCTTGTTAAATGAGGGAGTTCTTTTTTATAGTTGCCATATGTGATTGTCTATTTTTGTATGTGAGGACTCTGTAGAACCTCACTTCTCTATCTGTTTGTTCAATGATTGTGCAAAGTGAGATTTTATCTTAAGCCTCACATCATGCTTGTTAGGTGATAATTCACCTTGTGCTCCCAACGAGTTTTTTTAGATTGATGGGTAATGGATCCAATACCTCATTCTCTTTGATTGCTCTTCTTGATGATTTTATAATTTCTTGCACTTGAATGGCTTGTGTAATGTATAAATTATACTGGAACCTTTGTGCCCATGTTGAAATGAAATATATGCTTTAGATCACAGGCATGTGTGTAAGACCTATTGTTTGTCATTTATTTATGAATAATTTCAATTTTGAATGATGAAAATCTTTTAGGTGAAAAGAATGAAATAACATGAAATGAACCCCCTCTTCACCAACCAAATCGGCCGAACATCAAACCTAGTTTTTGTTCCCCCACAACCTCACACATTTAAATCCCAAATGGGGACCTTCAGGGCACGATGAACTTAGGATGAGCGAAGCCATCTAGTGATTGGAGACAAGTGAGATGTGTGTGTGAGAGAAAGACAGAGAGAGAGCAAGTGGGAGTGACCAAGAGAAGGGAAAGCGAGCAGGCCTTCGAGCAAGAGGAAGGCGATTGATTAAAACTGATTAATGATGAAGAGTAGCTCCTAGGGCACACGACAAAGTCAAGGGAAGGGAGGGAAAGAAGCATTGATATCTCTTTAATCCTCTTCTTCTAGCACCACCATCTTCTTCTAATTCTTAGAGAAACTAGGTGAATCCTAGATTCCAATTCTCGTTCTCTTCATTAGGTTTTAATAGCTCATAAGTTATCCTTACGGTCGAGAATAATTAAGCTATGGAAATCTTTACAAGTGCAAATCCTAAAATTTCTAAAGGTTCATGAAATATTAAAATGAATATATATTTCATATGGATTTCTTATTTTAGAACAAGATAAACATAACATGATTTTCTTAAATGATATTTCAAATTAATGGTCATAATTTGGAGTTTAACCACAAGGTATTTTCTCAAATAGTTTTATTATTATATAATCAATAATTGGGATTCTAAGGGGGGTTTGTACAAATTATAAAGATTATTTTGTTAGTTAGCATAAATTAGAATGTATGTTATGTAAAATGATGATATGAACTTATGTAATTGAACCTTAGATGGTATTGAGGATTAAAGAATATATGATCAAAGATATTTTATACATAATATATTAAAATAATTTCTTATTATTTTGGGTTGATTAGGAATATAAATTAGAGGAATTTTTAGAAATAATTAATTACATGTATGTGTTTTAATTGGGTTAAGCAATATTCTTAATGCACGCTACTTTGAATGTATGATTGATCTAGATCTTTTTGAATTTAGGGCTGTGGATCACTGTGTTGGAGCTACAAGATCAATGTGTGATGAAAACGCTTGGCTACTTGTGGCTTCTATTTAGTCAATATATCTTTACTGAATAAGGGTAAAAAATACACTTCCTTATTAGGGGAGTATTTCATATAACTTGTTGGTATGCTTTAATAGCTAAATCTATATTGTGGATAGTTTTCTAATTAAGCATAGTATTTTACGTGGTCATTTTGATCTGATGTGATTTAATTTTTCCATATTATTAGCTACACAAATTCTAAATATGTTTATATTATATATAGTACTTTAATTGTTGAAAAATACCTTGTACTTAAACAAAATATAAATAATATTGATATAAATAGATTTTGATCGTAAAAATGATAAAATTTTCATTATAAATTCAATAATATAATATAAATTATATAAGGGTATGTATGTCGGTATTTAGACTTGGTTAGAAAATATTAGACATGATCTTTCTTTATTAGATTCAAATGAGAATTTGACTTTTATCAGGACACAATGGAGAAAAAGGATTCATGTAGTCAACCCCACGTAGTGGGACAATGGCTTAATGTTATTGTTGTTGTTGTATGTATGTGGTATTAAACCCTTTTAATAATGGCAGGCCGAACCAACAATTCCTCAAGGATATCATTGGATTTCGATGGGATTGGTGCTCGCATTATCTAATTTCAGGATGAAATAGTAAACATACATACATATAAAAACTATAAAAAAAATAATATATAGCATATGAGAATTTTATAGAAAATAAATACAGTATGCATGCGAGTGGATCTTTTTGCATTCAGACAAAATAATTATTACTTGGTATAGATTATATTTTGTGAACTCTATTATGTGATAAGCACTATTAAATGATGCCTATATTTGAAAATTCCATCTTTTATACACCAAGTGCAACTAATATAGAAAAAAATATTCATTTTTGTTCTTATTCATTTATTTGCTAATACGTATGCCACATGCCTTATCATTTTGTTAGACCGGTCCACTGGACCGGTCCAGCCGGTCCGCACGGGACCGGCTCAGACGCGAAACGTCGCGTGATCTCCGCCTCCTGCGGAGATCGGGCGGGCCGACAGCTCAAACGGAGCGTTTTAGGAAGGATTTTTGGGGGGTTTTAGAGAGAAATTTGAATGTAGGGACTGTTTAGGGAATTCCTTTTGATTTGTATGCATTAAATAGTTGATTTTTGCTAGGGTTTGGGCATCTTGAATTTGGCTGAAATTTGAGATCTCTTAGATTTAGGTTTCTTTGGGCTCTAGCGGCGTCTAGAGATTTGGGAGAGATCGATCCTCCTCTCGAATTGAGGATCAATTGTATCTTTTCTATTCTGTTTCATCTATTAGTAAAAATACAAGTCTTTTCTCCACGGTTTTCTCTCCGATTTGCTATTTTTCCACTGTTTCTTGGCTGATTTCTGCTGTGGACAGCAATTTTACATTGGATCTACTTGGTTTTGGTGAGAAACACTTGGAAATCCAAGTGTTTCCTATCACATTTGTACTCTACTAAGTAGGATCTCATCTACTGAGTTTTTTTTTTGCAAACTCATATCTATTATTTAATTATTTTCATGTTGCTAGTTGCACATCATTAGAAGAAGCTTATAGGCTTCTACTTCAAGTATGTTAATAGAAGTGATAAATCTTGATGTTACTAAGAGATTTAATTGTGTAGTTAAATTCTTTTATATTTGGTGGATAAATTAGTAGGTGTTGTTGGATTTAAATACTCTTGATAATTTTATTGGTAGATAAATTGAAATCATATATTTTTATAAACTGAAATTGTTTCTTAATTTGCAGTTTGCACCTTCCCATTGGGTTTCTATGATTTCCTTCCAAACCAAGTGGGTGGGGTGTGACACATACATGGGGCAGGTTGTTTGACAAAATTTTCACCGCATAGAAATATAAACTTCAAGCTGCAGTACGTAAATTACAGGTCCTGTAACTAAAGTAATACTCATCCAGGCTAAGCACAAGAAAACTTAGATGATATGGATAAGGACATAGTACATTAAAAAAGGTTAAAATAGCAAAATATTATTCAACATTAGTTTCTTGTTTCATCCGCATCATCAGATATAGAAGTACACACCATTTCATACCTCAGTATTTATCCCATGACCAGAAGGCAAAGGTTCGCTTGCTGGAATAAGGAATACTCTGCTTGCTATTGTAGGGAATATTTCCTCCAACATGCTTTCCAAAGAGGTCCCAAATTTGCAAATCACTTGATTGATTAGGACAAGAAAATCCACCATATCTTTTGGCTGCAAAAATCATAAATATATAGCTAAAATAGGATAAAAGTTTCACAAGAGCTCACATTCAACATTAAACATGAACAATATATATGGAATGGCACTAAGATCTGAAAAATGAGAGCTAATGCTAATGAGAGTTAGCAGAAACCATTTAAATAAACATGAAACGAAACCAAATTCAACAGCAAGTAAATCCAATTGCTCTTATCTTGAAAGCAATGTACAGCGAACGATGAATCTAACATGGGACCATAATCTATTGGGTTGCTGATATGGTTAAATTTTCTAAAGCTATCCAGGTCAATATTTGCTTAACTATTTCTATGGCTATGGTTATCCCGTTCAGGTGTCATCCATTATTGGATAGTACCGGAATGGCATGGGTTATTACTGGTTTACCAGGGCACGCAACTTTTGTTCAACCAGATTACTTTATGCAGCTGTTTTTTTGAGGAATGAGAATTAAATATGAATTTGATAGTTATTTGGAATTAGATTGGGCTAATCATATGCTGATCATATCTACTGACGGAATGATGAGTGTGTTAACCCCATGAGCTTTAGCTTATAATCACTATTTTGATGATCACAAGCATAATTTGGTATGAGCTAATAACATTGATTACGATTAGGGAAAATGTGAGTCAAATTATGCCGGTCAAGTTTAAAATTGTAAATCAAGATTAAAAACATCATGAAGTGCATTTATAACTTTAGTGAAACTCGTGACCCCATTAGTTTGGAGTTAGCCTGACTGGCATTAAGATTAAGTGCCAAAGAGCAAAAATGTTACATATATTTTTTAATCATAAATTATTGTAATTTCAAATGTTGCAGATGCTAAGATGACTTACATGCATACAATAAATTTTTAAAATTATTTTGTATGCACGTAAGATATTACAATATGACTAGGTTCAATCGAGCAAATATATCTAGTTAAGTAATATATGATTAATGAAAATTAATTTTAGAATAGTATTATATGATGCAAAATTGCAAATCGTACTAAATGATATGCTTAACTTTTTAATTAAAGAAATCAGCTCAATTTGTATTAATTATAATATTTAAATTTTGAACTAATCATATTTTATGATGAATACCATATTGTATGATCAATTTCCAAATATAAAACCACTTCATGTCTTGAAGTGAATGATTACCACGCAACGTGTACTAGGTATTGTACTTCTCTCTTATGTTTTGCTTCTCTCTTATGTTTTGCTTCTCTCTTCTTTTTCCCTACCTATCTTATATCTATTATATTAAGCACTCATGTCGAGGAATTTGAAAATAATAAGTTTAAATTTTATGCAAAGAGATAGAAATTACATAGAGTTTATAAACACCAAATACTCCTCAACAAAATGGCATTATTGAAAAAAATAAAATAAAACATTAATTAAGGCTATTCAAGCTATGTTTAATGAATATAAATTATCTAAATATTCTAAAGTAGGGTTAGTGAACATAATATGCTATATGTTAAATAGGATAAGTATTTGGCTTAAATTAAATAAAACATCTTATGAAATTACTCAAAGGCTTGAGACCAAATTTATCATGTTTACATGCTTTAGGAGGCAAATATTTTGTGTTGAACATTGGAAAAGCAAGCTTAGAAAATTTTAATGCCAAATCTAATGAGACCATTTCCTTAGATTATGCATCTAAAAATTCATTCAATATTTTAAGTAAAATAAGTCTAGTAGTTGAAGAATATATTCATGCACATTTGATTAATCATGTATTCAAGATCCAATTAGAGAAAATGAAGTCAATATAAACATTACAAAGAATATTTAGAATCAAGTTAAAAGAAAAAATAAGTCAACTTAGTCATCTGGAAGAACAAATTCTAAAAGATCCCTATATTGGAGATAGAACTAAGAATTCCATTAGAAATGAGTCATACAACATTCATATCTTTAGCGGAGCCAAATAAGTCATAAAAAGCACTTGCAAATGAATTTTAGTTTATAGCTATGCAAGATGAACTCTATCAATTTATTAAATAAAATATTTGGTAGTTAATGTCTAGACCTCCAGAACATAGTGTAATAAATACAAAGTGTGTAAGAATAAATCAAATGATTCTAGTATAATGATTAGGAAAAAAACCAAATTAGTTGCTAAGGATTTCAATCAATTTGAATGAATTGACATCGAAGAAATCTTTGCCCTAGTATTAGACTTAAGACCGTCACATTACTATAAGTATTTGTAGGTTTCAAAGGCTTCAAATGAATGTTAAGAGTGTGATTATAAATGGAATAATAGATGAGAATGAACATGTAGAGCAATCACCATGATTTGAGAGCTCCGTACATCCTATGATCCTAATGCATTCAAACTTAAGAAAACTTTCCATGAGCACCTACAATTTGGTAGATAGGTTGAGCACACTATTATTAGATAACAAATTTTGCAAAGAAACCTTGGATACTACATTATTTCTCAATAAATAAGGTTTTGATAACTTAATTGTACAAATGTATATTGATAATATTTTATTTGAAGCCATTAATGATTCTATATGCAAAGTGTTCACTCAGATAATGAGGGATTTTGAAATAAATAATGACAGGAGAGCTAAATTATTTTCTAAATTTTCAAGTAAAGTAATAAAAAAATGGCATGTGATTATATCAAATTAAATATATTAAAGAGTTAATTAAGAGTTTTAACATGGAATGATATAAGTGTGCAAAATACTCATAACTCACATAAGCCAAAACACGCAACTTAACAAAAACATGAGTGAAAATAAATTGATATAAAATCATGTTGTGATATAATAGTCATTATTATAATTTTGTAATTTTATATACAAATATCGATCATGTGTAATAACAATAGAGCAATTTGTATAATAAAAAATCCAATACATTGCCCTAGCGCAAAACGTAATAGATATCCAATGTCACTTAAAATGAGATTTTGTGTCGAATGGAAATGTTAACATTCAGTTTATCGACATGGAAAATCAATATGCAGATATATTTATGAACCCATATAGGGTTATGATAAATTCTACATATTGAGAACCTAATTAAGTGTAATCCGAGTTAAATGCTTCAATTTGCATTTATTTTTTTATTTATTTTAAAGAGAGGATGTGAAATATTTGTTAATTGGTATATTTAGAATGAACAAATAAATATTAAAAAGAAAAATAATTGAATTTGACCCATTCAAACCTTTGAAATTTGGATCATACCAATCATATTATACAATTCACAATAGGACATTACAATTGATTCACAATAAAAAATTAACTATACAAACATTGAAGTGCAATTACTAAAGGAATCTAACCACTTTTCTTGGATTGTTTTAGGAATTCAGCCTATAAATACTACCCCTACCCCTCCCGTCCACTCAAACTATTCTAATTCCAATTCCTTTGTAAATGTAAGAGAGCTTATGAGATATTTTCTTATGGCCAGCAAATAATCACGAGGAGCTAGATCATCATAGTTCCACAATGCGACTTTTCATCATTGCTTTCGATCAACTTAAATTAAATTTATATAATTCTTATCACGAGAAGCCCAATGCATTCCTCCACTTCAACCATCCAGCCTAAATTCTACTAATAATCTCCTCATCTATTTCACCATGGGAACAAGATCCGAGATAATATAAAATGTGCACTCTTTTTAATGACTCAATCACCCAATGTCACAATCCCATCATTGGATCTCTTATTACTAAAATTACACTCCCCATGTATTCGATTTTTGGTCTACTCTGAAAAAACCTTTAGAATCTACGGTTGAACTCTATAATTCAAGTTTTTCATCAACTCCTTCTCTAGTCTAATCAACAAGAAAAATATCATCAGCAAAAAATATACACCAATGTATATCCTCTAGCAAATGTTTAGTAAGAACATCCATGACTAAAGCAAAAAGATATGAACTTAAAGTTGATCCTTGATGTAATCCAAGTGAAATAGGAAAATACTCAATCAAACTACTTATGTTTGAATACAAGTAATAGCTCATTTATACATATCTTAATAAATTGAATAAAAGCATTATTAACTCTTTTCTTTTCTAGAACTCTCCAGAATACTTCTCTTTGAACTTTATCATATGCTTCCTCTATACTTTTCTATCAAAACTCTCGACAAATGTATAGCTTCCATAATAGACCTATGCAGCATGGACCAAGTGATTTTGAGAAATATTAATATCACGTTGTAACATATACTCAGTTACTCTCATAATTTTAATGTCTGTCACATTAACTTAATTCGTCTATAATTCGCACATTCTTATGCATCACCTTTATTCTTAAAAATAGGAACCAAGACACTTCTCCACTCATCAGACAATTTTCTAATCTTCAAAATAATATTAACACAGATTATAAATACATTCATATTAATGTTTATTTAGTTGCTGCATTAAGCAACCTCTCTAGCCCCACTCTCCAGACCAAACAAGGTGGTTGAATTCTTGATCCATAGAATATTTCCATTTCCAATAAAAATGGAAAAAACTGTTAATTCTTGGCCTTTAATAAGACCCGGGAAAGCACCCAAAGCACTGATGATGATGAGGGTTGTATAATAGAAGAATAACTTTACTTTACAAAACGATGGCATAACTCAAAAGACACTAATTCATTGTGGGCATAGGTTATCTGCTTCAGATCATTTCGTAAGGATCTGATTTTGCTTAAAGCACCCAAAGCAAATAATATCACTCCAATTTAAAATATACTATTAGATATTTGATTGCCTCAATTGAATACTTCACTTATATTTTCATGATTCCAAAATAGGTTTTAATATTTAAAATACTTTTTCCAAATAATATATAAGCTCCTATTTCTTAAAGAAAATAAAATTAAATTAAAAATAAGGTACAATTAATATCATGATAATAGGACTTAGGGGTGTCAATTTTTGACACGACCCGAACCCGACCCGGAAAAATCCGGGTTCGGGTCAACCCAAACCCGAAACGGGTCGGGTTCGGGTTGAAGAAATCAACCCGTTTTAAAAATCGGTTCGGGTTCGGGTTGACACGGAAACACGAAATTGACCCGAAAGTGACACGAAAACTCATATTTAACCCGAAAATCCGAGTTTGACCCGTTTTTGACCCGATTTTGACCCGAAAAACGAAGATTGACCCGATTTTTGACCCGAAAACTTGCAATTTTGGGTCAATTCCGGGTCATTCGTGTCGGGTCAGGTTGACCCGGACCCGAATCAGGTCGGGTTCGGGTCCGGAAACCTGACCCGTTTTAAAAAACGGGTCGGGTTCGGGTTGACCCGAACAGTGCCGGGTCAGTTCCGGGTTCGACCCGAACCCGACCCGTTGACCCGAATTGACACCCCTAATAGGACTTTAAAATTAATTTTATGAGAGGCCTTTGATTATCCTAAATAAAAAATAAAAAAAAAAAACTTCATATGAGACCATACATAAATCCTAAAAATTAAGCAGATCGAGCATTAAAACGAGCATCCATCAAATTGAATCTTACAAATGAGAGGGTAATAATATGACATTCAAGTGTAAAGAAATATTTAGGGTGTTTACATGCATTAGTAGCATTTAGGCTGAGAACTCTAAATGATTTTGCTCATATGAGTGAAACATAAGAAAAAAATTTCATGAAATGTGCACTGCCAAAGAGGGCAAGATGACAAGCCATGTTAGGATAAAAAAAGGGGCAGGCATCTATATGATGAAACAAAATCACTTTGTTTCCCTTGTTGGTAAATTCAGGCCAAAAAATAATAATTATAATCTTAATCATGGCAACAAATAGTCAGCTTTCGAAATTCTAGTAGTTTTCCACATATGCCACCTTGACAATATCAAATCAAGCATAAATTTTTTGAAGCAGCAAGCTACTTAAGTATGAAGAGTACTCCAAGAAGTGAATCTTACCATTCTTAAAATAGAAGATAGAAAAAAGTAAATGGGATGGATAAAATCATACCTCACTATCCACAAGCAATTGGTTTAATGCCATTGGGAGATAGGGCAATACCATTGTTCCTAATATTTCAACCATGCGATGAAGATATGACGTAACCTGCATATTTGAAGAAAATTTGAGATGCATAATGGAATAGGTTGTTGTAGATATATGGACCCACTTGATACCTTATTACGCAAAGGTTTGATATTTGGAAATGTGACAAGTATTTGTAGGAGAATATCCAAAGTCTGAGAATCCAAAAAAAAAAAAATTTAGAAACATCTACTCATTCTTTTTGAGAAAAAAGTTCTGGGTGTTGAACCATCCAGAAATAAAAAGGAGCAACATTGCACCCATAAATATTGCAAGCCTAAATTTTGAATTAAATAGGGAAAAAGAAAAAGTAGCTCGCAATTGGGGAATGAAAAATACTAAATTAAGTGAACATTCATAAAGAAAACACAGTTACTTACCTGCTTGAACATCAAACCAATTGAAGGCCGACTAGCTGTCACTGTCCGCTCACTGAAGCCCTAGACCATAAGCGGGCAATGGTAAGTATTAATTTGTTTGTACTACTTTATGAGATGGTGGAATAAAAAAGTGGAGGAATAAGAACAAAACTATTTATCAGATGGAGTCAAATTCTTCAGCCAACAATCAAATACTAATATCACCGACACCGGCTCAGTATACATGAGAGAATTCCCTCTCTACAGAAACAAATTTAGAACATTTTGTCCAGTAAACTCATAATAAGATGTATTTTACAGTAGATAGAAACTGACCTTGCTAAGTGCATTTAAAGCTACAATAATCTGTTGCGAGCTCATAACTTTAGGTGAAGATTCCTCGAGCCCTTCAGCCTTTGCATCTATGAGTAGCATCTCAACCTCGAAACAAGTAATCAGCACATAGCTCATTTAATTCACTTAGGTAAGTTGCCACAAAGATGGACATTCAAGAAAAAACTAACACAGAGCTTTCTTACTTGTCCATAAAGAGGTTTAAGCAGTGCTGCCAGGTATTCTGACTGCTTTTCTGGAGAAATTTCTTCCACTCCAATCAACAACCCAATTGCCTGAGAAACCGAGGTGTTTTCAATTGATGACGTAAAGCACTTAGACTTTTATAGAAGCTGAACTCAACAAAGACTGTTTTTTTCCATGAGCACCCCTTCCAAACTAAGAATTAGAGCTAATTTACCTCAAATGCATGACTACCATCCTCAAAACCAGAATACTTGAGATCCTTGGATGTCCAATCTGAACTTGTGTACTGAACGAGAGCATCTTGTAAACTCTGCAGTAGGATGAAATAATTGGATATGATCCCACTGATAACAAATCCATAAAACAAGTATGAATTTCACACAACAAAGCAGAGGAAATGGAGGCAATGGTTCCCAGAAAAAAGGAAAAGGAACGGGAACAATACTTGTAGAATTGTATCAACGAAAGGCACTAGCTTGGGTTTCAGTAGCTTCACTGCTCTCATAAACAAGTAGCTAGCTCTTCTGCTCACATTAAGATTTGGATGATGTACCCCCCTCTCATCCAAAAATGCGGCAAGTACATTGGGTATATACTGTCCATTCTCCTGCACAAACTTCAAATACCTAGTGATTGTCTCCAAATATACAAGGGCAACCGACCTATGAGAATGGCATGAAAACTTTGCAGACAGAAGCAACGGTACCATCTCCCTTAACAATCCGCTCCCTGTCTTCATTCCATCTTCACTCACCGTCTCACCTAATCGGTAGAACAATGTCAGGGCAGCTTCAACTTCCTCCACAGTCATGTCCGAGGAGAAAAGCGCACTAGCTATCAAGTTGCGGATAAACAATTGTGTAACATCCGGCGCTACACGGCAAACACTCCTGAACAACAGAAATAAGTCCTTCCGGTGTTCGGCCATCTGTTCCTCCTGTTCCTTACCAATCTTGTCACGAACATCGAGATTATCTCGAAAAGTAGGATCATAGCAAATCTGCCCTCGAATCACCTCCAGCATCTGACCAACGTAAACTATTTGCTTTTGTGAAGGCATTTTCATAGTCGATATGTAATCCGAGAGGAGCTCAACCACATTGCCAGCGTCCAGCTCCTCACAGGTCTGCATTACATAAAAAACTGTGGGCAACGCCTCTTCCAAAAGCTCCATCGCAGAAGAGGACCCTTCGTTTTGAGAACCTAGTCTTTTATAACAATCCAACGCCTCAGAAGCATACCCAATAACAAGCGCAGGTAGCTTTTGTACCAACTCGGATTCAGCCAAAACCCGATTCAGCTGGAGGGATCGGAGAAGATTAAGCTTGGAATGAGGCTCCATCCGTTTAGACACAACCGCGAGAACACATCCCGCAGACGAAGCACGAAGCGGCTCCGGAGTGTTGTGGGAGAGGATTAAATCAAATAGAAGGGGAAGGAAAGCATCGTTAGCAACAAGGCTAATGTCGATCCAGACAATATACCGACGCATAGCGTCAAGAGTAGCCGCGGCAAGCGCGGGATCGGAGGATCGATAGAGTGAGACGATGTCGAACCATGCGTGTGCGATCTGGGGTACGCATTGAAGGCGCATAGCGTCCTTGACGCGGGTGGCGGCGGCAACGTCATCAGATGAAAGATGGTAGTCCTGGCTAATCAGATCGTCATCAAGAGCAGTAAGCAGGCGGGAGAACATGTCTACTGCTGCAGGAGAAGGCAAAAGAGAGAGGAGATGGAGAAAAGGTGAAGGCCAAGGAGAAGGGTACTCGAGGCGGATGAGTGCGGCAAGTGCCTGCGCGAGCTTGTTCTTAAGAAATGGAGGGGAAGAAGAAGGAAACAAGCGATCTGAAAAGAGCGACAAAAGAGAGGCGCGGAGGAGCGGGAGGTCATCGAGTGCCGAGTAGGAGAGGCGGATGACGTCGTGTAGTGACTGTAAGCACCAGAACTGGACGGGAACGAGAGGGGAACGATGAAGGCGATCGAGGCAGAGGCGAAGGACAGTAGGAGGAGGCCCGGCTTTGAGTCTTTCGCAGAACTCAATGGCTTGTAACAGGAGGTTGGATTCTGCGCTGCCACCGGCGGAGTTGTAGATGAGCATGATCGCGCGCTCAAAGTCGTCCATGTTAGAATAGGTGGTGGTTTCTCCAAAGCCCCAGCTGCAGCCACAAGATTTGCAGGGTAAACCCTAGGACTATATAATGGTGGTGGAGAGGAAGGTGGCTGCGTAAGTGGACGGTTTGTTTTGTTCTTTTTCGGTGAGAAATAATCGCTTTACTGAGGAGGAGGAAGACTCCGCGGGAGGATATGATGAAGATGATGAGATGGTGGAACTGCATACGGTATCGGTATCGGTATCGGTATCGGATTGTATTTAGTTTTTGTGGGTAAATTTGGATTTAGTAAATTTAGATATATGTTAAATTCTGATAAATTTTGAATAATTATTTAGTAATATAATTTAAAATTTAAGATGTGAGTTTATTTAAAAATTAAATTTAATGTATTTTGAATTTATTTTAATTGTTAACTCAAAGTTATTTATAAGTTTTAATTTTAAATATATTTAATGAGTTATACTGATAAACAATATAATTAGAATATAGTTTAATTATTTTTAATTATTGAATTAGTTATATAGATGTTAATTATTAAATTACTTTTTATATTACTAGTTATTTAATTAGGTTTGCTAAACGCTGGTTAATTATTTATTTAAGTATTATGAAAATTATGCTACTAATAACTATAATAATCAATAAATTATAAATATGAATTAAATTAATTTAATGGTAACTATACTACTATTTATTTAATTAAGGTAAATTAGATTTATTATTATATTACTAATTAATCAGACTAAATTTTAATTACTAATTATACTTATAGTTATCTAATTAATTAGTTAAATATTCTATTACTAATTAAGTATCTAATTAGTCAATTAAGTATTATATAACAAACTAATTATTTAAGTATGGTTGTATACCTAGTAGTCTAATTAATTATTTATATTTAAAATTAATTTAATTAAAATAATTCCTAATTAAAAATAAGGAATTCTTATCTGCCTTGCCTAAAAGGATTGTTTCCTTGTGCCTGAATACGATTTGCTCCTCTTTTCGACATCTTCGTTCATGTTTGACTTCGCCTCCTTCGACCAGTTCGAGGTTGCTTGCACGAGTCACTAGCTTCTTCTCCTCCTTCAATGACGTTCCTTTCGGTCGGACAGGAACTCATGATGGTTTGATGATGTTGGATCGAAAATAACGACGGGAGCTTGCTCGCTGTGAAGCTAACTATCTTTCACCCCCTTTAATGTGTTTCACATAAGAAATTCTACGACAACACCGCATGGGAGAGTTTTGGTAAATCCCATTAAATTTGTCGAACGTAGGATTTAGTAGATCCCGGATTTACGTTGTAAATATGTAAATCCGAGATTTACACAAGACTTGGGTTTGCAGGGAGCACAAAAATTGTTTAGTAAGACTTACTTTAAATCCGACTTCAAATTCGATACCAAATAGCCCCTTAGATTTAATCTGTGGTACTCATGTATAAATAGATAAAAAGTCATTAGAGATGAATTGGACTGGGGTATGGGTGCAAATGAGTCAGGTCGAGCTCCGGTCATGCTTAATTCAAATCGAACTCGAGCTCAAATGGTTTACTTGAGGTTGGCTTGTGGCAATGGATGCAACCTTGCGGGTAGCTAGCGAGGCATGCGGTTCTCTTCCTTCTTCGATCCCGCTTCAACGCCCATGGTTCCATGCAATAGTACTTTTGTTTCCGCTTCAATACCCTTACTGTCGCTTCCACACCCGTGCTTCTGTGCTCGTGCTTCCCACTTCTGCCTTCCGCAGTTCTGCCTTTCGCACTTGACCTGCTCAACGAGTTAATTGAGTATAGCTTCATCTCGATCGAACTGTAGCTAGAAAATCTGCTTGAGCACAAGCTCGACTCATGAGCTCTTTAACGAATCAAGTTTGAGCTGGCTCGCCAGTCGATTAGACTTGTTTGCACCCTTAGACTGGGGTGTAAGTGGGTGTAAGTGAGTCAAGTTGATTCAATTTGTTAGCTAGCAAGTAAACTCATTTAACAAATAATAATAAGTAAATGAGCTCTTTTATATTTTTTTTTCAATGCCTCATAAATGAATGAAGATAAGAAAAAAATTATATCTCTACTTGTTGCCAATGATCATAATAATCCAAGTATTTAAAACTCTCATTTTGATCATTTATTCATTTTTTTAATTAGAGACCTAAATCATAAGAATTAATTTAGTCCCTATTAAAAAAGTTGATGAATTAATTTTAAAAAGTCTCAGATTATTTTAGCCTTCATAAAAGTTAGAGAACAAAATTGATCATTTTTTTAGATGAAAGTAAGTGCAACAAAAATTAAAGCGACTGACTTTTTTATATCTCATAAATGAATCTTAGTTCTCAACTATACAAAATTGTCCTTCAAAAGTTATACTTTCACTCTTCACTACATGAAAGTAGTTTGCGGTGGATTTACGATGAACATTATGGTGGTTTTTTTTGGTCGAAAATGATGACAAATTTGAGACTGAAATTTTTGACATTTTTTTATGGCGAAGTTGCAGCGAATATTCCACCGCTGCTCCAATGTAAATTCACCGTAAATGCGACTCAAACTACCATATCTAACTGATTGATTATGCATCCATTTCATTTGTTTGTTGTCTTTCGACTGCTCTCCTCCATCTTTCAGTTCTCCTTCAACTTCACCTCCGCATAATATGGGCAAAACAATTACTAAATAACTTCCTTGCCTCCTTCAACGATGTTCCTTCCTGTCGAGTGCGAAGTCACACTTCGTCGTTCTTCTATCGTAGTCGAAGTCACCTCTTTGGTCGAAGACAGAAGCTTGGTCGTTGTGAAGGTATCCATCTTTCTTCAAATGCATGCTTCTTCGTCCAAATCCCTAAATCGGCTAAACTCCCTCTCTACCACCGATTGAAGGTATGCTTTTTGCTGATGATATTCTTCTTGTTTATAAGACTATAGAGGGAATTGAAGGTATACTTGAATTATAGAGCTCAACCTTAGAGTCTAATGGAAGGATTGTGTCTTTGAGCGAACAAGTCTTTAATAAGATTACATGTTTAAGATATCTTGGGTCTATTATTCATAGTGATGGTAAAATAGATGGAAATATTATTAGCATAATTCAAGTTGGATAATTGAAATGAAGGAATGCATCGGGCTTATTTATGATAGAAAAGGCCCCTCAAACTTAAAGGAAAATTCTATAAGATATGATGAGACTTGCAATGCTTTAGGGTGCAAAATGTTGGCCATTAAAAAAGAACCATAATTTTAAGTTAAGTGTTGCAAAGATGAGGAAGCTCAGGTGGATGAGTGGCTTTACTCTTAGAGGCATGGTACGAAACGATCATATACGTGAAAAGGTTGGTGTAGCTCCAATGGAAAATAAGATTAGAGAGAGTCGTCTTAGATAATTTTGTCACGTATCATTATTGTATATCTTTGTTATATAAAATGTTATCTCAAAAAAATTTTATGATGAAATTATACATAAATAACATTAAATTGATATAAATCTCATTGTTTGATTATATGAATTTATAGCACAAGTGTGTTATGGATATTGGAAATCATAGAAGTTAAATGTATAAATGATCGTTGTCTTGATGCAAAATATTAACAAATGAATTTTTGCACAGAGTGAATTTTTTCATACAGGCTTGCTGTTAATTACCTTCCTTTATATCAGAGAGAAGGTTTCATTGTCTATGTTCCAAACACAAAAATCAAGCCTACGTCATACCAAACAAGATTATTGTCAATCTATACCGCAGAGAAATATTAGTATTGGACTTCAAATGATGAATACAAGCCTCATTTCAACCCTCAATATGGCTTGTATATAAGTTCCAATATAGTTGAGGAATATAGAGCCAAGAATTTTAAGGAATTGGTTTATAATACAGCTGAAATTTCCACTTAAATTGTAGTTGGACTTTCCGCGCAGACTGGCGCCACACCAACCACTAATGGGTACATGTTGATTCAGCCTTAGGGTAACACGTATATAATGCATGTTTTATATTGCACATATATTTGAGAAATAGTATTTTTAACTAAATATTTTATGCAAGTTTTACCCGTCAAAGCAACCCACGTATAGGATACTGGGCATCATACAGAGTAGGTTTGATGCTCCATATGTTTCTTTAAAGAAAATTATAAAGGAAGTGTGTGATATATGGTTTAGGAAGTTCGAGGTTAATAAGTTACAATATTATTAACATATGTTCTTGTTTTATTAAGCTAACAAAGAATAATTTGTGTTCTGATTTGTTATATAAAGTGAGATTTCTACTAGTAGCTAGAGCATAGTACACATACAGAACAAATTTTGAGAAGCGTAGAGCATATTGCCTGCGAGATATATTTGTACAAATTAGGAGGAAAAATGAGCGACCTCTTTGGATTGGAGATGGTGTATGGGCCGAACTCAGTAGCATTTGGTGAAGCCTAGATTATACAACGAGAAGGGAGCAGAACAAACAGAATCAAGCTTCTAACGTCAAGGGCATGGGTAGTTCCCTCTATACTGGGGTCTTAATTTCACACACTGAGCACATATAATGATTGACAAAAATTTTAACATATTTTAGTAAAAAAAATTTATTATGCATGCCAATCTAAATATATTTTAGAAGGAGATACTGTGTAGAAAATCCACTTATGTTAAGTTACACAATCACACTCACAAACACCATGAGGTTTATCATTGGGTGGACGAGTGAGCGAGGATGATCTATATAAGTATATAAAGTTACATTACTAAGAGGAATATTATAAGTGGCAATTATATGATGATTAATCTCATGTTTTATTTTATAGTTGAGTATACACGATTTCAAGAGAGCCAAGCTATAGCTGGTGAGGGATTCTCTAGGGGTTCTGGAGATTTTTCTAACTACCGCAATTGGTCGTAGGCTGTAGGGATGAGTTTATGAATCAGGTTTGCAATCCTACACGTATGAGAGACAATCCTCTTTTGTCTTGAGCTACTCTGCGCACAATCAGGAGAGTTTATATAGCTAACATGTAGCTAACTTGATAGCAGAGCTAGAACATGTCCAAAAATCATAAGCGAAAATGCACATGCATATACTATATGAGCTTCAGAGATTGAGAGAGCAGATTAATGAAAATTAGCCTGTGTCTACATCGGTCGAGCATGAGAGTGAGGATATATATTCTGTTTAGATTGTCTTCTTTAAGTTTTTGATGCATTT